CGATCCAGCGTCGCACGAGCTTCCATGCCATGCTGGACGCCGAGTATGACCGTCTTGAGAGCGTCTTCCTCACACAGCGGCTGCACGACGCTACGGCGACATGTGCACACACGGACGCCGTAGTCGAGAACGACCAACTCATTCTCACGTGCACGATGGTCCATACTATCCACGCGGATATGCATCTCGTGGCCAAGGCGCTGTGGAGTATCGTTGCGCTGGAGGAGACCGTGACGCTCGAGACGGGCATACTTCGGGTACGTACGTCACCTTCCGTCAAGACGTGGATCCAACAGACAGTTTTTGTAGCCGCTGGAAGGCGTCGGGGACTCGACGTGCTACATGCAGTTTACATTGCATCTTCCCGCCGACTTTGAGCTCCACGGCAACATGGCGTGGAAGCGCTACGACGTGTCGCCCGCTCGCATCGTCTTCACGATGAAGGTCGTGCACGACGACGAAGTCCACCCGTACCCGCCCGAGGTCTTCATTCCCCAAGAGACGGGCTGGTACATACTCAAAATCCAAACGAAGAAGCCATCTCATTCGCACGTGTAGGTTTGAGATTGAGTTGGTGCGCGATGGCGTCACCCGCGTCAAACACTTTAGCCGCGGCCGCGTTCCATGCAAGAGCTACCGCGATGCATCCCGCCAACGCGAGATTAGCTTTGCAGCGCTGGCGGACCACGTACTGACGAGCTACCGCAGCAACATTCGGGTGCATCGAATGTTCATCGACCAGCGACTTCGCGCGTGGACAGGCACAGATTTATCCTTCTTTGAACACTAATATTCGCCGCGACGGCGAGATAAGGTGCATCGCTCGTTGCGGACCCCAACACCCCAACAATCTACCCTTCCTGCCCCATGAGCACAGTACCACAGTACTAGAATGCTGCAGGACACCTGCCCGGTTGTTGTGTCCTTACATGAAAAAGCTGTCTGCATGCAAAGCCAAATGGTGTCCTACAAGTAGCTTTGAGCCGAGCATGGCATGCACATCACAGAGCGTGCCACGTCACTGCACGTGCCATCGAGGGCAGAGCTGGAGGGCAGGAGGTGCAGGAAACCGGATGGATGAGGTGCTCTTTCCACATAATAGCATTTTGTTTCAGAAACGCACCTAATTGTGAGGAAGCGCACCCACATCTCCATTTCCAGCGCATGGATCCGTCGAGAACCGACGACCTCCTCGCGCTCGACGACCTCGAGTTGGCATGGGACCTCGACCTGCCAACGCGACCCAAGCGACAGCGCAAGC